TCACAGGAACAACCAACCAGAAACGACTGCCTGGGTCTGCTACAGCCTCTTCAGCTGTAGAGGGTGTTCAGGGTGTCATGCACACCCTGGCCCGAGAAGGATCAAAAGCATCAGAAACCAGGCCTTTCCCTGAAGCAGGGCTAGATAGCAAACAGTGGCCAGGAACTGTCTGGGCTCCAGGTTGGGATCAGGAAGGGGAGCCACAGCTGGGGCGAAGATAAGGCTCAAAGGTAGTAGGCATCTTCTGTGAAACTAGGGTTGCTAGATATGTTGAGAAACAGCTGGAACTACCACAGCTCATGATGGGAACTAAGGTGAGAGCCCTGCAACGTGGGATTAATCAACTGTACATGATAGCGAGGCAGTTAATCCTAATACTTAGGCTACAGGTCAAGGATATAAAGGAATTAGGCTTTGTGCAGCTTTGGTACTGGCCTGTAAGTGAGCAGAAGCAAGCCTTGCCTGTCCCTGTACATTAGTGTGCCCACTTCTCAAATAGAGATGATACCAACAGCAGTGATTTTGATCCCTTTCAGCAAATACTTTGAGATAACAGCTAGAAGTCTTACAGGAGTTGGGGAAGCTGCAGTCTAAGAACTGGGGTAACTGGGGGACTAGTGGAGTTAAGGAGCACGGTGGTAGGGCCTTTTGGTGCTCTTTGTTGCCCACAGGACACAGCATAGCGGGGAGATCTGTGGGTGGCATGGATAGGTGCCATGTGCTCCCAGCTAGTAGCAGTGGGCGAAGCTGCAAGGTCTCAGAGACAGCCAGTGGCAGCGCTTTCATGTGATGCTATCCTGGAAATAGTAACTGGCTACTAGGCATGGTGAGATGTCTGATAAGGCCCAGAGCAGCCTGATCAAAAACGGCCCTACTTTGGGGGGATGGGCCACCAGGTGACTTCTAGAGAACCCTTCCAACCTCTATTTTTCTGAGAGTCTAAGATTTTATGTTGCTGAACAGACAGCTGAACACGCAATGCACTGATTTCACTGCTGCTGGATGATTGAGTGGTTTGAACTATTGGTTTCTGTAAAAACATTATAATAATCTGTTCCCTATTTTGTTCCTTCTGGAAACAAGCATGTTGTTTGCCTTGTGACCACAGCTGTACACAGAGCAGAGGTCTCCCCACAGGGTACGTTATTTTTTCGTAGGTCATCATGAATCTTCAGTTGTTCTTACAGCCAACTATTTATCCCCTGCAATGAGGTGAGTGTGTTGGACCTGCCTCTCTGCGGTGTGAGAGACTGGGACCAAGCCCAAGACAGGTGCTGACATTTATGCAACCTGTCCCCATGAAACGGGACGTGAACCTCTAACTTAATGCTACAATCATCTTTCCAGTCTTCTTTGATTGAGGCAGTCTGGCAGTTAAGGCGAGCTGGGCGTTACTGAAGATCTCCGCCAAGCAGCTGTAATTTCCAGGTGCCCTTGAGCCCACGCACGCTCCAGCCACAAAGCGCTCAACCTCCCCCCATCACGTGTGCGATGTGTCCCTGTTTACACCACTCTTCTACTGCCCGTGGGAGCACCTTGCGTCTAGCTATGCCCATGTTCCTGTACATGTGATAATGTCAATATTATCAACTCTAGCATATTCCACGTTTAGCTCCATGTACTGGATTTCTCTGCCGAGCTACAGGAAATTCCCTTTCCAGCCTTAGCGAGTGACATTCATTTACAACTAACCACATGAGGGTTTCAAAGGGATGGAAATCAAGGGACGGCAGAGGAGGATAGTCTGGGGCAGAGCATATCCTGACAATTTCCAAATAATGACTGTGTGGCCATTATCCAAGCGCGTGGGAGACAGAAGTTCTAGTTAAAAAAAAAAATTGTGTTTGGAAGGCTTTCACAAATCCTGATGGTAAGGCAGGCTGCACATATTCCTGGATGTAACAGCTGACAGCGGTTACTCAGCTGCCCGAGGAGAGGCCGCCTCTGTGACTCCTCGCCCTGGAGGCTGGGCTGAAAGTGCAGGGCACGATAGTGGCGGAGGAGTTCGCCCTACGTTGAAAACAAACCAACCAAGCAACCCTGCTGGCAGTGAGGACACTGGCCAAGGTGGAGCCATCACCATGGGACCTGGCGCCACCACAAGTCCCATGAATGTGTGGACTGACAAGGCCCAAGCGAGTCTGTCTATGAGCGGGGAGAGGCCACCACGTTCTCTCTAATTTCAACAACAAATGATGAAAAAGGGCAGCTGGATGAGGCCCAGACTAAAGCACCAACTGTCTGTTCAGATAAAGGCTGATTATAGGCAGGAGTGCTGTCAGTGAGCGTGTCTGCAGATGGGTGGGCTGTGCATGGTACAATTTGCAATCTTCCCTGCCCAGGCACTGTCTCTACAACCCTAGTGACTGCTGAAGGGGACATCTTGTGAGCAGGAGGACACTGAGCTGGTGAAAAAAGACCACTTCCAAAACCTGTTGGAAGAAGAGGAAAAATCCCTGAGCAGTTTGCCAGATCCGGTCCAAAACGCTCCTGCTTAAGAGTTGCTCTGCGACAGTAACCATAAGGCCACTGATAGGAGGCACAGAACAAGTTCAGCTCAGCTGTTACAAACGCCTTCAAAAGGGCACAGAGCTTGCCTCTTGGTCCAAGCAGGAGGAGGAGGAAAGCGCCTTCAGGCTGCTCTCTTCCTCTTGACACCCTGCAGTTTTTCTTTCCCCCTTTTGGGGAGGAACTGGCTGGGAATGGTGGGGAAGGGGAAGGCTGGGCAGAGCAGAGCCGTGGAGGTGCTGGGATATGACATGGGAACAGCCAGGTGGGCAGAGAAACGCCGGCAGGTTGAACGTTAGACCTTGCTTTGCCCACCCAGTAGCTACAAATCACCCTCAGCAACCAGTCACTTCTAGCCCCTATTTCAGGGGAAGAAAGCGTAGGAGTGTAATGTACCTGCTTTCACACTCACACCTTTGCTATCTGTGCACACTTTCCAAAAATAGTGTTCCAGACAGTACGAAAGCCCCCTCGACCTGCTCCAAGCTTCCCAGGCAGTGTTATATGGCTTTTTGCTGTAAAAAAAACAAATCTGTTTTGTATGGTTTAAGCTGAGGGCACTAATGGCCCTTAACTGCCCTGAACAGCCTCACCTGGGCCCTCCACCCGTGCACCTCCCACCCACCCCACGGGCCAGGTGCCTATTTCAGCCCAGGCCTGGGGCCCTGCTCCTTATCTGAGTTGTGTGGTAGGGGCTGCTTGTTTCCAGCTCTGTCACCTGGATGGACCTTGGGTCTATGTTGTAGCCTTATCTCCTGCTGCAGCTGGGCTCCTTGGATGGACCCTGGGGCTGGTTTGTTCCTTGCCGGGGCTGTCAAAGGACCCTGCTGCCAGCACCCAGCTCTGCCCACTGTGTTTGGACCCTCTGGGACTGTGTCCATTGGTGAGAGCATGAGTATGGTGGGGTCCTCCTTAGCTCCTCACGCTGTGGAGCTGCCCTGCTTGTCTGCTCCTTGACTTAGTAGGTGAGTGTCTTAAACTCCAGCAACGTTCTGCTTTATGTAAAATTATCCTCTTCAAATGCCAATAATTTAACTGTGGAGTTTTTCACCCCTGAGAATGCTTGTTCTTGCCCGGACCTCCCTTTCCCTGGGTCAAGGGTGGTTTGGGTTTGCCCTTCTCTAACTAAAACCTGAGAAAAGAGATTTCTCCCTGTCCGATAGACTGGGCTGAATCTTTGCCCTGCTAGAGCAGCCCTTCCCAACAGCACTGGTGAGGATGAAAAGAGAGTAAAACGGTTCTATGAAATGACTCTAGAAAGGATCATGAAAGGGGTCTGCTGGGTCTGTCTAGGGAGGAGATGGCATGCTGGCTCTGGCTGCAGACCCACAGTCAAGCATGGCAGACGTGAAAGTGGCTTGCTTGTGTAGCCTCATGTTAAAGCAGGAGCAATGTTAGTATTTCTGATAGCTGGAAAAGATGCTTTGGCAAAAAAAAAAATACTTGCAAACTAGCTGTTAATTGTTTGTGTAACTAGTTAAAGTGTCTGCCCAAGAGAACAGCAAATAATATAGAGTAATCTTGTTAATGTGACACCAAGGAAGAACGGTACAAAGTCTTTCTCCTAACACCAAAGATCTTCAGGACGATGAAGCTACTGAGTCACTGGAGCATTCTGGCCCCTCCTTGGCTTTCTCCAACTGACCTAGAAAACCTTGTGTGTATGTATCCCACTGAAAGTGTTTGGACACAATGCTGTGCTACAGCACACCCTAAACTGATCCCTTGAGCATGTTGAGGAGAGGTCATTGCATTTGACTTTGGTCAACTTCATAGGACCTCAGCATCCAAACAGCCTTTGTGCAAAAGGACTCCTAGTGTGCGGTGCATCTGTCTTCCTGTAGGCAACTTTGCCTGCAATGACCTGGAATTAGAAGGGGACATATCTGCCCTCTGAGAGCAAGAGAAGCCCAGCTCTGAGGGAAACACTACCTTGCTGTCAATGTCTTGAATGTATTTGCATGGTAGTCAGGCACAACTGAAGGGAGAAGGAACTTCACAATCTGCAGCTTTCCCATAGGAGAAAAATGAAGTTTAAGCACCAACCTACAACACGCGGGTCTGACCTCCAGCTAGTCTGCAGTGACAGCTCTCTAGCTGAGTGGTTCCTGTTCCACCTCTAGATATAATGTTAGATACCCCTTCTCTCCATAACTTCTGAGAAGCCAAATCTCTCTCCAGTCTGGAGCCATGTTGGTCAGGTTAAGGTGGTTACATTTGTCTCATCTCATGTCAGGTGTGTGATCCCTGGGTGACACAGGGCAGTCAGGATTTCTTAGTAGTGTTTTCCTAAAGTGGCTAGGAAAATTGGAGTGAAAGCTCTAATCTTTTCATGAAAGTTTTCCTTAAAACCAACCTTTGGTACTAGCAAAAGGGCTAACTTTTATGGGGAAAAGAGATGAAATAATCGCTGCAACTTCTGCAGCTGCTGTTTAGATAGTCTACACCAAGTAACAAAGGGAGTATATTAAAGACAATAAAAAGGCTTCTCAAGAAGCTATGGAGAATTAAGGATCAAACAGCAGTTGAAAGTCCAGAAGAACAGAACTCTTCCCAGGCAGGTTACTGATGTCAACTAGAAAAGGCAGTGAGGATCAGACAAGGTGCCTGTAGTGCAGCTCTACTTGCTATAGGAGCAAATCAAGTACTTTTGTCTATTACAGCTCTGTAAACGGATGTTACAAAACTACAGCTGGAAACAAGAGCCAACACATTAGTGGCTGGGTCATCTAATAATCTTCCTTAACAATAGTTGGCATTCTGAAAAGGGAAAGAAAGATTGTAGGAGAAAATTGTATGTATGTGAAGTAAAAAGCCAATTCTTTCCAGTTCTATATGTGAAAGTAGCAGCCAGGGGGTCAGCCTGCTGTCACTGTAGCCAGGCAAGTCAAGGCAGTTAGTCAGGTCCTGAGTTTAATTAGTCAAGTGGAAGGGCATAGTGAGTCACACTGTTTGCACATGTTGGTCATTAACTAAATCTGGTAACTAGTTAAATGAAGTGTTAAATGAATTCCATTTAACTAGTTTAGTGAAATTAATACATCTGGGCTGGAGAAATATTGCAATCAACTAACAAACTTTGAGCTATTGCAGTATGAATCACAGCCCCAGGAGTGGCTGGGCATTGAACTAAACCACATTTCTGATGGGTAGGCTAGAGCTGCTTTGCAGCTTAAATATGTAAAGGAGAATCAGTTGGCATTTTTATTCCTTGCTCTTAGAGTAGTGGTGAAGAAAAGCAATTTGCCCTTTAGTTCAGCTTAAACTATAACTCTGGAGGCACTGTGTCTGATGGCTTCCTTCCCCGCCACTCATTCCGGGAAGAGCACCGGGAATTGTTCATTGCACAGACTGGGGTAATGTGTTAGTTAAACGTGGATGGCCAGGAATGCAGCTGAAAAGAGCAAAGACCTCCCAAGGTCACAGCATGGCTTCCGTTGCCTTGTACGCATGAGCCCATGATGCTCTCCTGCTCAGAGCACTTTCCACCTTTGCAACACTTGATGTCTAGGTGATGCTCAGCCTGGCCATTCAGCTGCAACAAGAGGTCTTAAGAACAGCTTTCTTGGTCATCCTCATCTCTACTGTGCTACCTGGCCTGCACCCTGCAAAGCGGTTATATAGTCTTGAGATGGAGAACAATGGGGTGCTGCCCCTGCTTGCTGCATGTTGCTCTGCTTCCCCGACAAAACCAGGATGTGATGATCTGGGGAGCATTATCCCCAGGGACTGTCCAATGGGTCCAGCCTATCTAGAGCACTCGTTGCAGGAGGAGTTTGCCCATGTCTTGTATCTGGATGGGGTGAGAGGGTTCAGAAAGGGACCTCGAGTCCTGCAGTCTCCTGACAGGGGTCAGGGTAGAGCCTTTTATCCCACTGCTCCTGGTTTTGCCTGCCCTGATCTCATTCTTTTTCCTGAGCTTACCTGGTGTGGGGCAGGGAGTTGTCTATCTTGTTCTGAAGTGTTAGTGATCCTCCAGCCAGGTCTCTGCTGGCTATGAAAAGGGTTGTGCAGCTCCTGGCAATTTCAGCAGCTCCAAGTACCCCAGGACTGCTACTTCACTGATTTTTTTTTTTTTTGGTTGGTCTTTTGTTTCAGGCCCGTGGACTGGGGACTTCTTTGAACTGTATTTGTGTCAATCAAGCTGAGTCAGTTCTGATGCCATCTCTGGTTGTGTGACGTGTAAAACAACTGTCACATGTGGCAGATGCTGTTCATCAGCTTCCACCTTAGATGACAGGCTCTTCCAACTGCTAGTCGGTCTCGGATGCACAATCCAATCCTGTTCTGCAGTGGCCCTGGCTGAATAAAGAGCCCATTTGATCAGTTAAGAACACAAGATGAGTTGAAATTGAAATTAAAGACCTGTCTCCTGGAACCCCTTTACTGAAAAGGGCAGTGGAAGAATTGGAGTGCAAGGCCTGAGGGGCAGTGGTGGCAGCAGTGCCTGTGTCTCAGTCAGGGCTGCAGATCCCTCACTCCTTGGGCTCTCCTATTAGTTTGCAGAGCACATCTCCTTCCAGAGACTCGTCTCTCCCATCCACCTTCTCTTCTGGGCACTCTCTTGCCCTTGCCAGACTCCTTGCTCCCAGGTCATGATTTGACACAAGCCATCCTAAAACCTCAGGAAATGCATTTGATGCACAGCAACCAGGTTCTGGTGCCCTTGGGCATCCCGACGCAATGGTTTTCTGCCACTCTCCTGTGGACTCATTTCACCATCCAGCTCAGACAGCCAGTCATCAGCTCATATGAGACAAAGCTTGTCACAGCACCTGAGGCTGTAGGTGGTGTGTGGTAACCCCACACCAGAAATAATAGTGTTTTGACAGTACTCTTCCCATAGCCTTTTTTCCTAATGTGGGACTCCTTCTCAAAAACGAAAACAGGAAGTTTCTAAAAAAAGATCTCTTAAAAAAAAAAAAAAAAAGGTGCCTTCTGCTGAGTCCACTTGAAATGGATGTGCTTTGTGCACTCAGGATGATTTCTTTGGCTCTACCCCAAATCAAGAGTGTCACTGTGGGGATATCAACCTTTCAGCAAGGTCTCAAAGTCCGAGGAAGTGGCTGTATGAAAAGCCATATGAAGTTGAGCTCCAAGAACAGAGACCACTTTTCAAGCTCATGTTGCTGCTCCTTGCTACTTAGCTGCTTTGAATAAGCAAACTCCACAGAAAAGATGAAATTTGAAGATCTCTTGCTGGAAACCGGTGGCTTTGGCAGATTCCAGATCTTGATTTTGTTTCTCCTCTGCTTCCCAAGAATCAACCTTCCCATGCATTTCCTGCTGCACAACTTTCTTGCTGCTACCCCCTCTCATCACTGTGCAATTCCACACCAGGAGGCATTTGTGAACCTCACCACAGAGGAGCTTCTACTCATCAGCGTCCCCCGGGAGCCTGATGGCACCTTCAGGTCCTGTGAGATGTTCTCGCAGCCTCAGTTTTACCTGCTACTGCTCAATTCCTCTCTACAACCAGAAAATGACTCTCTCATTGAGGACTGCAAGCATGGATGGGTCTATGACCACTCGCAGTTTACCTCCACCACAGCCACCCAGGTAATTCCTTGCCTGTGATCTAGCTGAAAATGAAATTAGCTCAGTGTTTTGGGGAGCAGGTGGAGAGCTATCTCCTAGGTGCACAGAATCAGAGGGGAATCTTTGTATTTTATTTATCATTTGAAATGACCTCTTTAGAGAAGATGACCTGGGATGGGGAAGCTCTCCGAAGCTGAGAATTGGAACCCAATGTTTCTCATTATGAGCATCTCGATTTTCCCAGTGACTGAGAAAGAATGGGACAGAGGGTGCCATGGGATTTTCTGCAAATGTCACGTGGCCCAAGACACATGATTGTACCCCATAAGGATTTCATTTGAGCTCATGACTCTTCTGATTTTTTTTTTTTTCCTCAAAGACTTTTGTAACTCTTATTCCCTTGGCCACATCTCTTCCCAATTCCCTCTCTTCTCCCTAGGATTGCCATGCCTCTTACCTTTTGTCTGCTTTAGCTCTGTCTCCTTGGTATAGCTTTGGTGTTCCCCATTTGTCTGGTTATGCCCATAGCTAGGAGGACAAGCAGGACAGAGGGGTAAGTGGGTTCCTCTGTGATAGGGGACAGCATCCGCTCACAGTGCTGTCCCATGGCTGCTTGGGGAGTGCTGGTTCTTGGAGGGGAGCCCTGGGGGTGAAGCAGCCAGTGAGCATGGGGCTGGCAGGGAGGGATGGGCAAAATGAAAAGGGAGGAATGGCACCGAGTGCAGGAGGTGAGAAAGGGGGCATCAAGGAGGGTGGACAAAGTAGGATGCAGGGGGTCAAAAGACAAGATTTCTAGATCACAGACCAAAAGAAGTAGGTTTGGCCACTGATTATGGTGAGGTGAGGACAATGCTTCCAGAACAAGGAGGTAGGGAAGAAGCAGCTGCCAGAGGGTACCCCCCAGAGTGGGGACAAGCACCTGGAGACAATGAGGACATCAGCCTGCCAAGTACCAGCTCTGTCCTTGTCCATTAGGACAGCCAGCAGAGGGGGGTCAGCAGCCATGTGGCAGGTCCCATGGTAGGAGTCTGGATGGAGCTGACATGGGTGAGAAAGCACGGACAGTGAAGCCTAGCAGCATGCAGACCCACCATGCAGATATGGGCCAGACAGCATCAGGCCCACCAGATGCTGTTTAGGGAGCTGGAGCAGAGTGCAGGCTTTGCTACATCAGGGCCATCTGTGCAAAGCCTCCAACTCACGGTTTCCTTGTCCTCCTGGAAGATGTTTCCCAGGTTTAGGAGACTATCACTCTAGTTACAAGAGATATCTTTACTGTCAGCCAAAAAACACTCTCTCCAGGGGCCTCCCTCTGAGACCCAGCATGCTGGCTAGCTGTAACCTTGAGCCTGCCCCAGGTGCCTGCCTGTCAAATGTTAACCACCAAGCTAGGGCTGTCTGACAGTGATACCTCTGGGTGTTAATACTCTTAATACTTCACCTGCAGTCTGTAAACTTCCCTTCCTTAGAAGGTGGCCAAAGCACAGGGGATCTTGACGAGGACAATTCAGTCAAAGGAGCATAGCTGGGTTGGAAATGAGAGCAGGAGTGCTGCTACTTTGAGATAGTTTCCTGTCTTAGTGAGACCAAGGCCAAACCTTAAGCTAGAGCTGGTGTCTCCTCTCTACCACCTGACCTTCCCCAGGTTTGACAGGCAGTGAGGTGTGGGTTAGATGTGCAGCAGGTCTGCATCCCATTTCTGCCCTGTATAAGGGAGAAAGGGGCAAAGTGCCCTCACAGGGGAGAGGTGTTCAGTAGCACAGGTGCTTAGTGCAATGCCCCATGACACTGCACTCAGTGGCCTCAGGTGGGGTCCAAGGGGCTGAGGCTTCCTCTGGAGTCTTCTGCTTTTGCAGCAAAAAAGGTTGCTCAAATTCTGGCTGGCTTTGTCACAGAGACTAAGGCTGGGTGGATGGTTAGCTTAAGTTTTGCCAGATTAGGCACGTAGAGAAAACCAGCTCTGCAGCTTGACCAGGGAGTACTGCAATGATTAATGACGCTTGCATCTCCAAGGAAGTAGGATGATGCTCATTAATCTATTGAAGAAAAATGTCTAGACCCTTCTCTCGGGGAGGAGGAGGTGGATGGGAATCAATAAGTGCATGTCAGGAACAACTATTTGGTGTGATTCCTCTGCCTTCTTCCCTCTCAGCACAGAGAACTTCAAAGGAAACTGGTAAAAACAGCGGTCACTGCGTATCAACAAGGCATCCCCTAACAGAGGCTGTGACACGGCTCACTGCAACATGTCACCCTACCAAAGCCCATCTCACCAGGGCAAGCCCTGGAGCATCCAGAGCACGAGAGAGGGAACCAGCAGAGAAGCGCAGCAGGGCAAGCTGAGAACAGCCCTCACGAGGGTCAGGAGAGGAAAAAGGGACCTCTTCATGATGAGTGGTACCTGGGAGAGCTTTCTGATACCCACAAGTGTCTGCAGAGACTCGTGACAGGGCTAAATAACTCAGACCTCTGAGTTTTGTGAGCTGCAGCTTTACATTTTTTCAGGACTCTGGCAGTGTCATATGTGCAGTTTAGTTCAGAGTCCTACCTTTCACACAGTCAAGTTTGGCTGATAAAAGCTGCAAGGCAGGTGATTGTTGAAGGGAAGGTGACAGAGGCTGAATTGGGCAGTAAGTCTTTTTGACCTTGTGTTTCAGTGGGACCTGGTGTGTGAGCAGCGTGGACTGAATCAAGCAACTGCAACCTTCTTCTTCATTGGTGTTACAGTGGGGGCTGTGATCTTCGGATACCTTTCAGACAGGTTTGACCCTTTTCAGGCTGTTCCCCTTCTGTCCCCAGCTCTGGACTTCAGTTTCACAAACTGGTGACCTGAGGAAGGCGATTGGAGAGGCAACGAAAGCAGAAAACAGTTGTGAAGGGAGGATTCAGTCCCTCCAGTGAAAACTGGATTAAAGGCATATTGAGAAGCAACACAGACTAAATGTTAGGTGCCATCCCTACCTGCTTTGTGGAGCAGCCCATTGGGAGTCCACTAGAGAAGCAACTCTGGCCTCAGCATGGAGTAAGATACTCTGCAGCAGTGATAACAAGGTTGTGGTCAGCATTGTTGCAAAAACAAAAAGCCACTGTCTTAGAGTTCAAAAAAGGAGACCTGCCTAAAATAGAGAAAGCAGTTAAAGCAAAGCCAAAACAAGCTGCTGAAAGAGTTAAGACTTTGAAAGTCATATGGAAATTCCTTAAGGACACCCAGATAAGGGGCTCGGAGCAAACATGTGCCATGTCTGAAAGTCTCAAAGCAAAAACTACCTCTTTCCTAGAGAAGCAGGGTCAGGGAGGGTGTCATAAGCAGGGTGGCATCCCTCTGGGAAGAGCTGGGGTAGCATCCCAGTGAGGAAAATGAGAGCAAATCTAATTGGTCTGATTGAATGTTAAAATGTGATAGGATAAAGAAGAGTCAAGCAACTCAAAGGGTATAAATTAAGAAACTAGTTGTTGTTTTGGGTTTTTTTTGATTTTGGAGTTATGTTTTCTCCAAACAGCAGAACTAGGAAAGGTACCAGAGAATATGTAGAGCAAATATTCAGTCAGGATGTGCTGTTCACTCCACAGTATTCATTATTTAGTGTCTGAGTTTCCTGCACAGGCAACCACCTAGTTCCTTAGAAGAACACTTGTGCGGGGCAGGCTGCAAGACCACCACGTCACAGAAGTGAACCAGCCTCATGACAGGGTGCACCAGAGACTTAGTGCTGAGGATGGAAGCTGTTACATCCATGTCTCTGCATATATCAGTACTCTTCTACAAGCACCTAAGATATCTGGCTGGTTTTCAAAGTACATGCCTCAGCTTTGTATCTAAAAAGGCTTTATAGCACAGTAGGAGGGAAAGAAATTCAGAGTCAGGAAAAGCAGCAGGACAAAATAAGGCAGAAAAGTCTCTGCCAGAGCAAAAGGCATACAAATGAAGAATAAACTGTTTCTCAAATGGTTTATGAGGGGGAGTAAATGATCAAGTCTTAAAAGGAGCACCTGAGAAATAATAAGGCTATAGTAGAGGACACAAATTCCCTGAATTTGTGCTCAGTGGGAGAAGATGTAGAGGTGGGTGTTTGAGTTGGAGCCTTCTCATTAGAAGACCCATCTTAAAATGTACTGGTAGAAGAAGGCTTGGAGAAAATAGTGAATAATAGTAAACTGCTAGGCCCGGGGAGTAGTTGTCCTGGAGTCCTACAGAGCCTTCAGGATGAAAAAGCTGGCATAGTGGTGGCAGAGGACTGGGAATGCATCACATAGCCAGTTTTTATAATGGTCCCCAAGACAGATCTAGGGAGCTATCAGCCAAGTAGCCTGACATGTATCTGTACTGGGCAAATCAGTAAAACTGTTCTGGAAAACAAAATCAGTGGGCACATGGATAGATATGATATGCTGGTGAAGAATTGGTGGCTTTTTATGCAAAAGATTGATGTCTTAAAAATAAATTGGATTTCTTTGAAGCTTCAAACAGGTGTGTGAACAGAGGAGGTACATCTACTTGGATTTCAAGAAGTTTCCTTACCTTTAGCTTAAAGAAGCTAGGCTGTCCTAAGATGAGAAGGAAGGCCACTGCATGGCTAAATAATTGATTAAAAATCAGGAAAAAAGGGGGAGGTAGAAGTGCTCCATTCTTACAATGGAGAGAGGTCACTAGTGGCAAGTCCATGGGAACCCATGCTTGGGTTTATGTGCTGTTCAGCATATTCATAAATGATCTGGAAAAGGGGTGAGTGGGGAGATGGTGTGGTTTGGAGATGTTTGGAGTTATCCAGGCTTGCAAAGATGATGTCTGAGTGTGGAGAACTGCAGAAAGACCTTACCAGGTTCTGTGACTAGGTGGGAAATAGAAGACAATTTCAAAGTAGGTTAGGGTAAAATAAAGAGAAATAATCCTAATCCATGTTTAAAACAAAGGTTCCTGAGCTGACCATAACTGCTCAGGATATGGGGTTTTAATAGACAGTTCCAGGCAACTATCAGCTCAGAAATGAGTAGTGGCTGGGCAAGCAAATAAAATTCAAGAATTGCTAGGAAAGGAATAGAAAATTGAAGAGAACATCACTGGTGACACAACATGTAAATCCAGGGTGGCCCCACATCATGAATACAGAGTGCAATTTTGATTCCCCTTCATCCTCATCCTGATCTCAAAAGGATATAGTAGAACTGGAGAAAATCTGCAGAAGGTAACAAAGCAGACCAAGTCATGCCTTGGCTTCCACTTAACCCTTCAGTCTGCTAAAGAGGGTTTCATAGGCATCTGTGCCCTCATGAGTGACCTGGAGCAGAGCTGACTGTGCACTGACTAGCCGAGCTACTTGGTCACAGTGCCCAAGGGAGAGCAGGTCACATCAGGAGAGACCTGCAGCCTCCTAATGGCAGCAGGAGCAGCGCACAAAGGATAAATCTGGCATTCCTCTTCCTGAATCAAGTGGGAAGGCTTTGTCTTGTTTACATTTGTTTTCTCCATGGACTCATGATTTGGGATTGAGGCCAAAACTCCTACAAGCCCCACGTTTACGTATGTTTGTACCTTGATTTCCCCTCTCTCCCAATATGCTTTGCTGGGGCACTGGGTGGCAGGGCAAGCTCAGTATTTGTTTCAACAGTGGCAGGGAAGGTGTGTGGGGCTGACAGTGGTGGGAATGAGAAAGTCCTCAGAAAGAGAGAGAGCTAAAGAGCTGAGCAACATCAGGCAAACTAACAGGTTAAGCACATTGTTAGTTTGCCACAACACTCCAGAAACATCCAGCTATCGCTGCCACCCACCTCCTCCAGAACCCATGCAGACCTCACTTCTATTTTCTCTCCATGCTTGCTCTTCATAGTCTTCCCTCGCCTGCCTTTGATTTTGCCTGTGTTTGCTTCCTCCAGCTCTACAGTACCCATTTGAGATGGAGGGAACCAGAAATGGTTAGAGGGTTCTTCAACTGTCAATAGTGACCATTTAATCCTATGATCTAGCTTTTAATATATTATTTAGTCATGCAAAGGCCTCTCTTCTCCTGTGGCAGCTTAGTTTTTCCCCTGTGGTGTGGGAGATGACTTTGACTGTTTCTGGAAGTCTTGAGCATTCTGAATCAGTTGCATCTTGCTTGTCACATCCTTGACTTCTCCTTATGGGTATTCCCTGCAGAAGCCATGCTGACTCCTTTGCTATTTGCTTACCCATGTATATATGAATTCTAATTCTTAACATAATTTTCACCCATTTTATCAGCATCAGTGCCAGATCTATTAAACCTCAGATGTGCCCCACATCTCTAAGACCTCTTATAAGCTGATGTCCCATTAGCAACCTTCCTTTTCTATATTAGAGAGGCACTCAGAGAGTCCACTTCATTGAAGGTAGTAATTCAGACAGTTTATCCTTTAATTTTCTAGTGCCCTGGGGTGAAAACCATCTGGTCGTGGCATTTTGTTACAGTTTTCTTTCTTATTTGTTCTAAACTTCTACAAACGCATGGATTTGGACATATCTGCTGACAAATTTTACCCTGGTAACCTCTCCAAGCATCCTTAGTGTGAACATATATCTCTGAAAAATAATAACTTCTGCGCTTGCCTTCTCTTTTCCAAACAGTCCTTTTGTAGCTTGTCTATTGGCTGTACAACTCTCTGGCAGACTTCCAGACTGATATTTATGAAAATAACTTCTTATTTATTGTTTTGCCTGTGTGATTTGCCTTTTTTTTTTTTTTTTTACATTTAATCTTTCAGTGGATGGGCTCTTCCCTCTCTCTTTGAAGACTATTTCAGCTGCTTGCAGTTCAATCCTTCTACTTTCCCTCTGGTTTCCCTGCCAGGTGGCATACATCTGCTGAAAGACTCTAAAAATGAGTCCATAAATAGCTGCCTTGCACCTGTGGGGCATTTTATGTTTTGACATCCTCCTTAATGTATTTTTCAAAAAAAATCCATTTTAAAAAAAATGTAGCTACTTTTTCAGGTAGTTACCCTATTGGAAGCCAGATACGATGTTGGTGGGTTACCAAGTGTTTGCTGCTCCAACCCAGGAGCATTATGGTGACTTTTGTGAACCGACTCTGTGTATGTTTCAAAGTAGATCCAGCAAACTGCTCAGGCCCAATCCAAGAGCTGTTCCTTCTCCAGGAGACTGCTTAACTAGCTGCTGCATGAAGTAATCTGATTGTTTTTAACAATGTTATTGTGACATTATGTTCCACCATATCACTTACCCACATGGAGTACTGGTCCTCGCTACTGTACTTCTCCAGTGGCCATTGAGAGAGCCCTAAAGCCAGAACTGGGCCACAATTTCAGTCCCTGTGACTGAACACTACCTCTTGACAGGGTCATTTACTAGTCCGATTTGAACCTAAGCTTTCCTCATATGCAATGCTCATGTTCATCAGCAGATCCTCTCCTACTCTTGGATGATTTCTGGGTACGATGGCGTTCCTCTGATTGCCTTCTCACAAAGGCTCTGATGGCTTTAGTTTGTCACAATCTTCACTGAAACCTCCATGCTGTGCTCGGTTTTGGTTTTAGATTTTCATGGGTTGTGTAGAGCACATATATGCACATTCATGTGTGTATAAAAATAAATTTACAGTGAGTATTTGATTTTCTATATTTCTTCACACTACATCTGAAAGGGACTCTGCGTCAGGGGCCGGATGGTCGTATCACTTCTGAAACCCTTAGTAAATGACCTCCTGGAAGGTTCTTCATAGGTCCCTTGGGAGAGCAGGGCTATTTGCACAGCGGGGCTGACAAATGGTTTCCTTTTCTTTTCCTTCAGAGTCATTGTTTTCCCTTTTGGGACTAGGGCAAAAGTGTCATGTTTTTCTCCTCTCCCTCCTTGGGCACAAGGATAGTGATCCCTCCTGAAGGGACCCCAAGAGGAGGGGATGTTGAGCTGAGAAGCAGAGCTGGGTGTGGGGACAGCCGCTGGAGGGAGTGGGGTGTGCCAATGGCATGGGTTTTCAAGCTGACATTGTGCGTTTGACGGTGGCATTGCCAGGGGAGCCCAGTATGTCGGTTCTTTTGATCAATGCTGCTGCAGCTCCCTCGGGAGAGCCTCATGCCTGGTGCTCACGACAAGGCAGGTTGCCCCTCTGCACAGGGTTGCACCACTGTGGCACAGGCTGTATCCAGAGCAGCTTCCTCCTCTCCAGGCCATTGTGCTGCATCTTGTGCTCTTTGCAAAGCAGGTGATGTTTTTATCGGCCTCCCTGAGTCTCTGCTTTGCCCTGTTTCAAACCTTGCTCCTGGGACAGGTTTCCAGCCGCTGTAACCCAGTCCGTACTTGTGGCAGGTACGGCCGGAAAGCTATGCTCCTGGTGTCGCTGGTGTGCTCGGGCATGTTTGGGATGCTAAGTGCCGCCTCCACCTCCTATAGCATGCTGGCTATCACACGGACCCTCACTGGTGTGGCCCTGAGCGGCATCTCCCTTATCATATTGCCTTTGGGTAAGTAAGCATGGGGGTGCCTGATTGCACAGGGAGATGTTTGGTGGGTGGTGGATGGGTAGGTAGGGACAAAACAAGTAGGAACAGGAGTTTGGAGATTGTTACGTAGGTGATTTCACCACAAGCAACCAAAAGAACACCCCTATACGAGGATCCAAGAATTAGTATTTACTGTTACTCTAGTGCTTCGCAGTCTAATCAAGATATAATCAACTGCTTACTATTAGTTCTGCTGCAACATTAACACTTGTAATCTGTATTAGCCAATTTCTGTTAAGGATTATTAGTAATACAATAAAAACATAGACAAAAGTGCCCGCCCTTTGTCTCTGATACTGAGTTCTCACCCTTCAAGTACATTTTTGAGGCAACTCATCAGCATGCCCATGTCTTCAGCAGG